TCTACATAAAATTTTCTAGTATGAATTTTTCATTTACCATGTTACTGGTAAATTTCAAAACTTTACCAGTAAGTTTACCGAATGTTTTTTTGTCAATTTATCGGTAAACCGGTATACAATCCCTATACCACACACACTACACAAAAGCCTGGGAACTTTACAATTGAATAGAAATACATACCTAACACTACAGAAGGCCACTATATTGAATACATGCCATATTGTTAGGAAATTCCTGAATACAGACACTGACACATACTTATTTAATTTTAGTTTTATTTTGGTTGCTATGTCTTGACTCTGGTCCGGCATAGTACACAGACACCAGTGTGAACCGAGTATAACCCACTAAACATAATAATGTCTTAAAAAGTATATCCATCTTTTGCAACTATTTTTCAAAAAATTTATAAATATTGTATATTTAGTTTTGAAACTTATAATAATAAATATAAATAATAAATATATTTATTTCAGCTTCATCTGAGATACTTTTATTACGAAAACAGCTTTCAGAAAGTATGGAATCAAATACTTCTTTACGTCATGAAAAGGATAAATTCCAGAGGAAAGCAACTCTTAGTGTAAATATTTGCATTATTAATTATTTTTTATAATTTTGTTTTATTAATGATATCAATGAATTTTTAATAAATTTTAGATAGTTACAATAGATATTATCAATTATCACAAAGTTAAAAAATTATAATGAACACAAATGTACCATTTTCAATTGGAAAATAGTTTTTATTGAATCTTTAAATTTAAAAATGAAAGTTTTTACAAATTAATTTATAAGCCTGAAAAATACAATCAAAAGTATTTTTCAGCATAAATTATTTGTCTATTAAATATACTATGATATTTATTGTTAAAATTAAAGTCTTTATTGCCTTTGAAAAAAGTGAATTATTGATTAAGTCTCTATTAGATTTTTCATTTAACAGAATAATAAATTCTGAATTACAAAAAATATTTTACACTTATTAATAAGTTTTATTTATGTTGAATTATTAATAACTGCAAGATTCTTAACAAAATTTTGGAAACTAAATTTTAATTTTTAAATTTAATCTAAACTTAATTGCTATTTTTTTTATTTGTCAAAACAGTTTATTTAGATAGATAAAACAATTTCTCATTTAAATGATGATGAATCAACAATACACAAGGCTATTTGAACTCTTTCAATAGTTGTCATAACTTTTTTATTTATACAAAAAATAATTTTTTTGATTTTCATGCAGTCAAATAAAATTCTCAATTAACAACTGCTACTTTACAACTGGTTAAAACTAGAAAATAATAAACGCTTCAAAAACCTAACAACCAGCAACAAAATTATAAACTAAGTGCAAATGTTAGGCAGTTCCCAGCATTTTTCTCATAAGTTTGTTGCCTGATGATGCCCATTTAACATGGGTGAAAACATTCACACTTAGTTTATAATTTTGTCGCTGGTTTGTTAGGTTTTTTCAGTGTTTATGAAATTCTCAATACATTTTTTTTTTTTTGAAATGCTTGAAACTCTTAAATTTGAGGT